TATAAAATAATCACTCAGACGCTTATATCACTTATAAACTGTATGGCCGTGGCAGGCTTCTTGCTAACTGTTTTTTTTTTTTTATCTTAAATTAATCCATTTCTATAAATCTATACCTTGCCACGTGGCTGGTGGCTTACCGGTGTCTTTACATGCTGCTTGTCCTGGCGGTGGCTGCAGTGTCTCTCCCTCCTTCTTCCTGTGTCCCCAATTCTCCTCTCTCCTTGTCCCACCTATACTTCCTGTCTGGTCACTGGCCATCAGTGTTTTATTTATATAGAGTGATATCCACAGCAGCCCTACCCATCCATTCCAAATTTCTTCCAAAGTTTAACTCGTTTCACCTTCTCGGTGATCTTCCTTTATAATCTCCATGGTGTTAGAATCTGCAATTCTCAGCAAGGACTTCCCGTAATTAATACTTGGCTCCTGTAAACTCCTGTAGAGCCATGGCCATCCACTAACAACCTTCATATTCTCACATTCCCTACCCAATATCTACGTACATTCTGTGCCCAGTTCTTAGGTAGTACATGGAAAAGTCATCCTGAGAAAAACTGTAACAAATAGTTACTTTTTTATTTTTCTGCTTTGTGCTGTATCTTGTATCTTCCATATTCACAATAGAACTTGAATTTATTTTACTTATTTTCTATCAAAGTCTAACTCCTTCTACTGAACATTGATTCTGCCTGTGTTTGTCTTCTATACCTACAAATGTTGAGAAGAATTCACTTCTCCATTCTGATTGATGGACAGAACAGCAAATAACTCTAGGCTAAGAAGCAGTTTTAAAGCTGCCCACAAATGAAATGTTTATTTATAAGCATTTTCTACATGTTATCTGTAAGCTACACATCCATAAATATGCTTTCCTTGACTATAACACAATCAGGCACATGAGAAAGAGTCGGAGCCTTGGACATAATGACGCCAGGGTAAACTCCAGCTTCTGTCAGCTCTCTGCCCTGTTAAATCCCAGGACTTTGCTTCTCCCCTTGGCTGTCTCCTTTGCACTGCACCCAACTGTGTGTCACTGTTTCCTTTTTCTACTTCACACTTAGTAAAAAATGGATAGACATTTTACAAGAAAGCAAGTGTATTTGCTGGTTTTTGTTTTGTTTTGTTTTGTACCATCTCTTCTCAGCTTCTTTCTCACTGCTGAAAAAAATAAAGAACAGTATGTTTGTGTGTTTGTTTGTTTGTGTGTTTGTTTTTCATCTCTTGATCCTGGTACACAAGTAGCACACTTTGACCTTTAGGTCTTTAACAAGTTTGTCTTTGAGAAAAGGTCTTTATTTCTCCTTTTTATTTTCTTTTCTTAGAGAAAGATGACTCAGGAGCTTTTTCTACTCAGAGGCATGTTGGGTTGAGCAAAAGAGAAGGCATATTCATTTCCTTCTTTCCTTCAGCTACTCCATCCTGACTGAGAGGGCACAGGCCTTTGTATAACTCTGCTTGTTATCCTGTTGTTATCTATGTTGTCCTGGCTGCTCACTTGTCAGCTCTCTCACATTACATGATCCTTTACATCTTGTTAATTCAAGCTTCATATTTAGTTCGTCTGCTACTTAAAAGTGCTTTCTTAGACCTCCTGTAGTTTCAGTTTTCTTCCTTCAAACACTAGCTCTTCTGTGTAATGGTTTATTTTCTCAGTTTAGTTTCTACACTTGGAATTCCAAATGTTTTTTTTTTTTTCATTTGCAGGAAAAAAAAAAAAAAAAAAAAAAAACAAGTTCATCCCCTGCTTAACATGGCACAAACCTCCCCCTGACACAGATGTAGAAAGTGTTAATTATATGAAATTCCTGAGGGAGATAATGCAGTTATTGTCATGCCTAATAGTTGATGATCTTCTATGCTTGAAGAATATGTCCTATCGCCAATGTGTTTAGTAATTCTGTAATCAAACATCACCAAAATTTACCACAGATCACATTTTCCTCCTGGGCTTTTCTTGCTGCTTTACACTATTTAATCGTGTCCGGGGGCTCACTCTTTTCCCAAAGAGAAACGTGGATGATCATTGGAAAGCAGATGGTTTCTACTGGGTATTTCTCCTTTGATACTGGGATGGGGAGTTGGAAACTTAAAGCAATGGTAAGTTCACTTGAGCACAATCATTGAATGATAGGTGCTTACACTGTTGAGGTTGAACAAAATAGATGTTATTCCTAGCATTATGTTTCTCAATAACAACAAACAATTCCTATGGGAGACTAAACATAGATATTTCATTTGCAAAGCAAATCTCAGAGAACACTGCTAGGAAACATCAGGGGAAAGGAAAGAACAAGACAGCAAAGCCCTCCTAGACCTAAGTAAGCTACCTCAATGCAGGATTTAAGAACACTGTGTAGTATCCATCCTTTAGCTGTTTATACTTAAACACAATATAAAGTTTTAACCTGAGGCCTTTCTTCTTCCAGATGATGGAAATTGGTGCTTTAAGGTCTCTATTTTCAGATTGAGTTTTCTCCTTTAAAATTAAGAAAAATAAGATATGGTATGCAGTCTTTGTGTTAAAGTAAGAGCAGATATTTCCAAAACCAGCATCAATAAATTATCAGTATGATGTTGGCTCTTGGGAAAAGATAGAGTTTTTGTCACAAACCCACAGAGAACCAGATTGTTCATTGTGCTAGACTTTAACATCTGCTTTTATACGCACTTTAACATGCTCAGTACACCTCTGCTCTGACTTACGATGGCGTTCTGGTGATGGCTGAAACTTTCCGAAGTCTCAGGAGACAGAAAATTGATATTTCAAGGAGAGGAAATGCTGGGGATTGTCTGGCAAACCCTGCTGCTCCCTGGGGCCAGGGAATTGACATGGAGAGAACACTGAAACAGGTAACTCATTGCTTTTCTGTATGATCTTTTATAAGCATGGTATGTTACAAAAAAACTTATTCATCTGAGCATTAATGTCTATTACAATTTCCACATTAATATATCAAGCCTTCTACAATGTCAAAACATTTTTAGATGGAACCTCAATGTTTATTCCTTATATAGATGTGTTTTCAAGATAACACGGCAAAACCAAAAAGGTCTAGAATTATGAAGGGGCTCAGTGCAGACACATTTGGTTAGCAAGAACTTGTGCTCCATAAAGTAGCTCAAGGACCCAGCCTGGCAGAACAGCTGCCATTTTGAATGAACAGGTTGTTGTTGTAGGGAAGTGTTGACATGACAAATGAATGCTTCATTTCAACAATGGCATTTGCATCTGCTTACAACTTATACACCAGAAAGCATCATTAGCTTCATTAGCCATAAGGAGTCCAGAAAATATAAACCTATGTTATAAAAGAAGAAGAAATGTTTGTCAGAGCTAAGAACTGCTTCAAGGCATCTTTAACTTTCGGAAAATGCTAGTTTTATTCTTTTATACCAACACAAACAATATGTTTCAAGTAGTAAGTATTAAAGATATTATATGTAAGAATTATTTAACTCCTCTGAAATGTAATAAGTTCAAAGTGTAAGTTAAATGAATGAGAATCAAAAGACAATTTGGAATCCAGTGCACTTGGATATTTTCAAATAATGTATTTTTAGCTCTTTATATCTTAATTCAATGTTAGCCAGAAGAATATGATCTCTCATGGGGATGCTAGTTACATAAGCTACTGTGTATATATACAGAAGAAACTGAAGATTGACTCTAAGAAGATATAATTCTGTTCTATAAAGGATATTTCAATATTGGAAAATAATTGTGTTAGTTAAAATGAAAACTTTATAATACAAAAAAATTCATCTTCTAGATGTAGAGCAAAATAGTTTTTAATGTCCTTTCATATTCCTCCTCCAAGTTCCATCAGTAGCTCAAGCATTCCAGAAAGTCGATTGTAGCTTTAATTCCACAGCCTTCTATGATCCTTAGCCTAGTAGTAGGATATTTCCTAAAGTGAAGCTACAAATGAATATGTGTATGTTTTCTATTTCCTTCACAGGTTCGAATTCAAGGGCTGACTGGGAATGTTCAGTTTGACCACTATGGACGTAGAGTTAATTACACAATGGATGTATTTGAACTAAAAAGCACAGGACCTCGAAAGGTGAGCTACAACTTAACTAAAAAGTGAAAATTGTTTTCTTGTTTTGCATGTGACACTCTTAAAGGCTTATAGAAGAAAGAAAGCTTCATGCTATAAATTTGCATTTTTAAGTGATACTTTCAACTAGTACTTTCTTGATGGTCTATGCTGAGATAAATGCTTATGGCATAAATTATTAATGATGTCACAAAATGAAACAGTTAACTTGTCACTATGCCTTTTAACTCACAAGGGAAGCAATGTGGCAAGGGAAACTTGGCAAACAAATTTTGGAAACAAAATTGACTCTACAGGAAAGAACACTACACAGTAAAGATGCCCATATATGGTCTGTGAGTCATTCGAAGGCAACTCTACTAAGGAGTGGGTGTACTTCAAACACATGTAGGTTCTGGAAGTGGCCTGGCCAACTCAAACAAAGGAAAGCAAAAGGAAGATAGTGGGCAAAGGATAGAGAAAAACACCTGAGTCCAGAAAAGTGATGGTGTCAGAATCTTACACTTGGAAAACATCTTAGCATCATTTCTGTTACTATGAAAAAAATGCCCTGAAAAAGAAACTTAAAAAAGAAAGAGTTTATTCTGCTTACAGTTACAAGTTACAGTTCCTCATTGACCACAAATACAGGCAGCAACTTGAAGTAAGTCACGTGATACCCACAGCCAAGAGAGACAATGATAGGCATGTTGTTTGTTTGCATGCTTGTGCTCAGCTCTACTGGCCCACTCTCACACAGTTCAGAAGCAAGCCCTCATATGAAATAGTGTTGCCCCTGGTGGGCTGAGTCTTCTCATATCAATTAAGACAACCCTCATCTAGACAATCCCTCATTGAGAGTCTGTTCCCTAGTGGTTCTGGTTGTATAAAGTTGACAATTAAAAATGACCATCACAGAAAAGCAGCTTTATAGCTCTCAGACATGAGGACTCACATCACCTATCTTTCCAGCATGCCCAAAACAATCTACATCCGAGCTACCCAAACTTTTCCTCTTAAGACCATTTTCTATCTGAGACATGTTTATGTGAAGCCATTATATAAGACAGGCAAACAAATTGAACATTTATTGACTATAACTCAGAAAGAACTTCATATTTAAAAATTCTTTAGTACAGCTATAATTTCATCATTTATGCATACTAATTAGATGGACACGCTTGACTACTTTTACATGAAACATTAAATCTAGTCTGAAAGAGTGCCTTTTTCCTCACATTTATCAATGTTTTTGATTTTGTACACATCAATGCTGAGAACACTGGATTGCATAAATATACAGTACAAAATGTCAGCAGTATGTTTCAAGACATTTCTGTTTTAAAACACTTTTGAAATTGCTGGAAATCCTGTCCTGGTCTCAGGTTAAAATTCATCCAACAATTTTTGTGAAAATAAAGTCAGCAGTTCAAGCAGAAACTTTGAAAATCAAACCATGTATGAATTAGGAGTGGTAGAACATGCCTGTAACCCCAATGCTCAGGAGGCAATAAAAACTCTATCCAGAGTTATAGGTCATCCTCAACTATATAAGAAGCAGCAGGAGAGTCTAAGCTACATGAAACCCTATCTCAAAACCTAAGTAAACAATAAATCATTCTAACACATTGATATCTACAAGTTATGGAAGGATATGAGAAAATAATGGGTATTTGTTTTCCATAATTAAGCCATTATATTTCTATAAGATCAAAAACTTTTATATGTACAGTAAAAACACTTTAATGAATAGCATATAGAAGTCTGAAATCTGAGCCAAGGTTTTTCAGCAGAATGTATTGGTGTCACTTGGCATTACGGCTTGTGGTACAAAGTGCTCATGTTGTGTATTTAGAAACCAAAGCTGCAGTGAAGTCACAATGAGGCAACATAAACAGGTGCTTCCAGCAAAACCTTCATTCACTGCACAATGGATTTTGAACTAAGATGTGGTCACTGAAGGATCAGAAACTTTTTATTGGTGCCTTTTTTTGCAGCTCCCATATTCACTTACACTAGTAAGCCACTGCTTAAGAAGCTGAGTTTAGCCAGGCATGTTGCATGCATTTGATCCCAGCACTGGACGCTAGCCTTGTCTACAGAGTGAGTTTCAAGACAGCCAGGGCTACACAATGAGAAGCTGTGTTAATAAATAAATGAATAAATAAATAAATAAATAAATAAATACATAAATACATAAATAAATACATAAGTAAATAAATGGAATGAAGAAGAAGAGGAGGAGAGGAAGAGATAGCCCCTCGGCTGGGCTTTATGTCATGGAGCCATATAATCTTACAACAGTAATTTGTTTTAAACATTATATGATGAGTGATACATAGGATTCTTAACTTCCTCTTTTCTGTAGGATTGTCTAGGAAGCCAGGAAAGAGAGATGTTAAAATTAGCTTCTAAAAACTCTTTTTCAACATTTGGCTGGTTTTTGATTTAGTATAATAGCTACAATTTATGGAAGCCCTGCTTTGTTTTAAGCACCCAGATATGATGCTTTATATAATGCAATCTTCATAGTCAGCCTATTGCTTGGATTTTACTATATTTCTTACTCTTAAATGATAAAACTATGCCATAATACATTTTTGTATACTGTAGAAAAAAATTTTATTCAAATATATGTGACCCTAGAATCTTCCAACACAGTGCTTTGCCTAAAAATGCCCTGATTGAAGAATTTCATTTAAAGAAAGCTAGGATATGCAGTCCATTTGTTGGTTAAAGAGAAGGCATATGGCATTGTAAAAGGAAAAGGCCACTCATCACTGGAGGAAATTATCACCAAGGCAGGCTGCAAAGAGGATGTGAGGTTTAAAGTTAGCTGTAGAGATAGAGACTAGATAGGTAGACATAGCAAAGGCAACAACAGCAGGACATTCAAGGGCATGTATAGAAATGGCAATGGCTTTCCCAGTGCCTTGCTCTAGTCTATTACATGGGTGTGCGTCTGGAACTGTGTGCAAGGGAGAGATGTGCTACTACTGCACAAGGCAGCTCTAGCTTGATGGCCGCATGGTGACATCTCCTTTGCCTGTAGTCTGCCCACTGCTACATAGAAAATTTCAGGCCAACAAATTCAAGTCAGGGAGTGAGGGAACTGGGTGATATCTCAGCCACATTAGCAGGCTCCTTGAGTAAAAGAAGGAGATAAACTTCCCAAGAAGAAATTCTGGGACTCCATTCTCCTGGCACATTGCCAGCCTCTCTGTGAGCTATGGTGCTGACAGATTATTCCATAGACAACTAAAATTGTTGACTCCTGGGTAGGCAGAAGGAAGAGAAGCCACCTTCCTTTCATACAACAAACCTTGCAGAGCTGGTTGACTAAGCGGAAACTTTTTAAAATGCAAAAGATGATCTTTTATTTTATAAAACAGTAACTATGGCTAGGCACATGGCTCTTAATAAAATTGAAAGAATAGGAAGAGGAAACAGGTGTTAGCCCCCAGTAATACTTTGTGGGCTATTAATACTACTGAATCTTTTCGTGGCCTGTCAACCACAGTGGTAACTAGAACTAAGATGTCTCGAGGAGGAACTTAAGGAGTGAGTTGGGAGAGTGATGCTAGCTTCACACCCAGCTGAAATCCAGCCAAGACTCTTAAAAGAAAAATGAAGCGTGAAATGGTGCAGGCTTATCTGTATTCGTTTTCCCAGCGGCAATGATCAGCAAGGCTGTGTGTCAGGAATATTGAACTTAAAAATGAGCTACCTAGCTAGTGTGAGAAACACTATGCTTGTGAAACTATATGGTGTGTCTGAGAAGTGAGCAATCATTCTTGTAAATTGAATACTTGCCAGTGAGGGAGCAAGCTTTGAACATAGATCAGAGAGGCAACCCATCAACTTATCTGGCTTCTGTGGCAGAAAACCTGATTGAGCATCTCATTAAACCAAAGCACATGGTTTTCTGAACCAGGTCCCTAGATAAATGGAATCTTCTTGCTTACCACCCCCATGGCTCCAGAGGGTGTGTTCCATGGCTACTATTGTAGGGGTTCAGGAAATCATAATGGTAAAATTTCATTTGTTGAGATTAGGTTATATGCTGGGCACTATAATGGAACACTAACATTCATTTCCACATTCAATTCTCATAACAGTGTGAGAATAATGCATTCTTCTCAACTTACACAGAGCTAGGACCAAGAAAAATTAAGTAGCCTGTTCGGGGAGAGTCAGCTCAAAGAGGTAGTATTGGAGAGAAAAGAAAACTCCAGTGGTTCCAGAGCCAGTTCTCGTGGCTACTTTGTAGCAGCTGTCCCCCACGCTGGAAGATTTCCTTTGAGATCTGGTGTGAAGATGAAGTTAGACATTTCAGGACAGGGCTGGTTGAAGTAGCTCTCTAAGTCACCAACTGTAGTAGAAATAGATATTCCTTTGTGCTAAAACACTCAACCATAACTTATTCTGCAGGCCAAGTCTACACATAGGGTTTTACTTATACATTATATTATATCTAGTGTTGTATCTGGTTAACATTGTTATATTTGAGGAAAAAATTAACCTTCCAGACTACAAAGATATATATTTTCTGATATATATATTACAAGTTTAGTGATTTAAATATTTCCAGATTTTTCTGTGCATTAATATGAAATTATTTTCAATCTCTAGGAAAGCATTCCTAATTAGTAGTTTAACAGATGAGATCAGGTAAGACAAACACTAGTTTAAAAAAAAAGGCATGGTGTAATGGAATAGAAAGAGAAATCCAGCTCTAGCTCAAACTTCAGCATGTTTCTCTGAAATGATATGTATAATTTATAACTTTCCAATAACTTTTAAAAAATAAACAAAAGGTATTTATTTAGACTGGATGTCTATGGTAGGCTTTCTTTTTTCATTGGAATTACATGTAGATATAAAGCAAAACATTGAACTTTAATTTATTATCTTAATTTCCAGCACTTCAGAATCATTTATCCTCTTGGGAAGGATCATTATGCAATATTTCAAAGACTCAGAAATAATTGTGAATGTTTCAAAATGAGCCCCAGGTCCATGGTTCTTTTCCCAATGGGATTCATTAATAAAGAAACAACTCTTCTCGCTTGAAAATGGGCTGCAGTGATCTTCAGGTTTGGCTGTATGTTAATAGAGTGCCAAGTTATAAAACCCTCTATGAGCATACAAACCTGTCCCGTGGGAAAGGGAGTTACAAGAAGCCACTGAGATAGTTTTAAGTGCATGTAGGAATCGAAGAAAAGAGGGGTTTCATAATTATTTTTAAGTGAATTTTTTTCTTAGAATTGCTACATGCCCTCTAGACGTATATATACATGGACAATTGAAAGTAATTGTGGAATTTATATGTACTATAATTTCTAGTTAAAATCCTTTTGATTTACCTATTCATTTTGAGTTCTGTTTGCACCACTTGTGAATAATTATCTCTCTTTGACAATACTAATGCTTTGTTGGAGTATGTTCTTATGTACTAATATGGCAGATAAGACATTTGGCAGAGCAAGAGCGCTTTCTAGACCACAGTAGATCAGACATTGATTGCAGACCCATGAGCAAGTACACACATTTTTATGGGGCCTGGGCTTTATGAACATTAAGAAGTGAAGCTTGACAATCACTCACTTTTGGAAGCCATGCAACATACAAGCAAAAATGTAAAGATTTAGCCGGGCCTTGGTGGCACACGCCTTTAATCCCAGCACTCAGGAGGCAGAGGCAGGCGGATCTCTGTGAGTTCGAGGCCAGCCTGGTCTACAAAGCGAGTTCCAGGAAAGGCCCAAAGCTACACAGAGAAACCCTGTCTCGAAAAACCAAAAAAAAAAAAAAAAAAAAAGTAAGGATTTGGTATCATACAAGCTTCAGTTCTAAATTCTCTCTGTACTGGATTGTAATCTTGGACAATTTGTTTAGCCTCCACAAAGGATCTTAATAGCAAATGCATAGATAATCATAACAACAAATAACACTATGCATAGTAACTTTAGCAGGCATAGAATAACACACATCACATAGAGGTATGTCCAAGAGCAGCATTCTTTGTATGGTAGCCATTGTTGTCCTCCAATGGTAGAAGCCAATCAGTGCATCCTCAATTTCCAGTAATATTCCATTGTCATACTTCATCTTAAGGTACTAACCCCTTAATTTATTTTATCTAGAAGTATTTCACATACATAAATGAGAAAATAATATGAACTATGTCTTAGTTGGGTTTCTATTGTTATGACAAAATACCATGGCCAAAAACAAGCTGAGGAAGAAAGGGCTTGTTTGATTTACACTTCAGCGTTGCTGTTCAACACTGAAGGAGGTCAGGACAGGAACTCAAACAGGGCAGGATCCTGGAGTGTAGGAGCTGATGTGGAAGCCATGGAGGGATGCTGCTTACTGGTTTCCTTCCCCTTGGCATCTTACAGAACTGAATACCAACAGCCCAGGGATGATAACACCCACAATAGGCTGGGTCCTCCTGCATTAACCAATAATTGAGAAAATGTCAAGGAGACATTTCCTCAGCTGAGGCTCCTTCCTCTCTGATGTGTCTAGCTTGTGTCAAGTTGACACACAAAACCACCCAGTAGAAATTGCTAGTGTGTGAATGTGTGTGATGTGTGCAAACTAATTAGTGCAGGTGTGAGCACCTATACACAAGTAGAGAAGCCAGAGGAAGACCCCAGGAATTCTGCTCTATCACTCCACACCTTATTCCCTTGAGACAGGGTCTTCCTCTAAACCTGGAGCTAGACTAACAGCTAACAAGCACCAGTGATACTCCTGTCTCCACCCATCCTCCACAAGTAAGGGTACAGTCACATGCATAGCCATGAAATGCCTTTTACATGGGTGCTAGGCCTCCAAATTTAGGTACTCACACTTGCTTACCCAGTAATCTTGTCCACTAAGCCATTTCCCTAGCCCCAAATACTAAGATATTTAAAGTCAAAGCACAAATTGAAATGTAAGCTTTAAAAAATGAAAATATTATATATTAATATCCATTTGCAATGCAGTTAACATTTCAGAAAATGAATTCTCTTGTAGTAGTTACATAACATCAAGCCAAAACCTAATCCAGATTGCTATTTACAAATAAATTTCTTTTGTCTAAAATATGGCTGTTTGCTTTAGTGTATGTTCTATAGTTTTCTTGATAAAGTTGTGTAAATTAATTTTAGGCAGTGCTGGCCCATCTCACTAGATGAGAGGATCAAAATGCCCAAGGTTCTAGGTGTGTCTCTCCCATTCAAACCCACTGCTTCCCTTGAGTACTTCATGACTCAGACTTTGCTAAACATATAATAAGGTAGTATCTTTAACACTGAGAAAACTGTCTCACAGTTTTAACTTAGACATCTACAATGCAACAGCTATACCTAAGGCTCTGGGGCTATCATGAAACAAGGAACAGAAAGGCTATAAGAGCCAGAGGACTAGGACACCTGTTAGGAGACAGTGTCTTCTGTATTTGACAGGGAAGCTCCACCCATGAACTCTCAGCAATATTGCTGCAAGACCAGCATAATGATAGCACCAGTTGTAATGCCAACATGGACAGAGGAAGTCCACATAGCCCACACCTAGATGAAGGTAGTCAATACTTGCAAAGAGAAGGAGAATCAATTTCCTCCAGGGATGAGCTCCCACACAGGTTGTCCAGTGCCAAGTGATCAGTCTTTTGCACATGCACATATGAGCAAAGCTAAAAGGACACAGTAGGTTGTATATATGTGTGTACATACATTCTACAATAATAATTAAGGAAGAAATCATAAATTTTCAAGGACACTGGAGAAGTCTATGGAGAAGGGGAATGCCAGGGATAATGTAGATGAAGTATGTCTGTATTAAATTCTAAAAATATATATAATTATTAATTTTTAAAAGACAATTCTTAATGTACCTGAATTTTAAGTTTGCATTGGATGTTCACTAGCTCGTAGCAGTCACTATCCCAAGGAGAACTCTAGTGAGCACTTCTATGCTGTGTTTTCAATTAGCTTCTCTATCTGGCAGGTTGGCTACTGGAATGATATGGATAAATTAGTCTTGATTCAAGACATACCCACTCTCGGCAATGACACAGCAGCTATTGAGAACAGAACAGTTGTTGTAACCACAATTATGGTGAGTTTTGGTGTATGCTTTATAATGTTCTGTCTTATCCACAGGCAAATTTAGCTGCTAGCTATGGTAAGGGGATGCAAGCTGAATCTTAGTAGTGACTTGAGTGCTTTGACTCACCCAAGTCTACCGAGGCATTGAATAGACCTGTCCCAAGCTTGGACACACTAAGCTCTTTCATTGCCCTTATTTGTTACTTTTCATTGCAATATTTTTCTTGAGGGAAAAAATTGACTCAAATGTTAAAAATTGAGACTGTGAAACTGAAGTTGAAAGTGTTTGAAGTTCTAAGACCCCAGCTCTGAACAATGAATGTGAGGAAGTCAAGCTCCAGTCGAATCCTAAAAGCATCAGTGGAAATACCTTATTCTCGGTGTTTTCAGAAGCATCAATGAAATAAATAATCATTAGTAGTGTTTAAATGATTGTTTCAGGTCATTGTGGGAGAGTGATCTGTCTTGTCTGTTTCCAGTCACAAGAATGTGAATGTGGATATTTTAATAGTACTTTTTTTATATAGCCAAATGCTTGATGAATTGATTTTGTTTGATATTTGTTTTTTATGTAAAAAGACATTTCCACCCACTGCTTATTTTTCTTATTGACATATATAATTAAATGAACTTCTTGGAATCAAGAAAAATGCAATTATTTCATTTGACCATATCATAAAATTTAAAATGCTCTAAATTTTAAGGCTCCTACTTCAAGGAGTTCTTGTGGAATTGCCTTTAAATTATAGAATATTCAATATCTATATATGTGTTTATCTTCTAAAGACAAACATGACCTTTATAGTTGGTGGTAGTCAAAGGAGATCATCAGTTGGTGATTGTTTATACCTTATGTGAGATCCCAGGTCCTCAGCTAACTCTTTCTGTAGGCAAAATATGTTATCAGTTATTTATAGAAACTCCTACTTTAAATAAAATGGAAGTCTTTGTGTAAGTTAACTTTTAGCTTACATAATTTCAATTTTTAGTTTTAGGGTTTTAGTAATGTCAAAATATTTCTAAAGTTGACACTGAAATCAAAGCATGCAAATACCAAAAAGATGCATTCGCCTCTTGCAATCATTTATGCCTGTTTTTGATAACCAGTTAGCAATTTAATGTAATCTGGCAAGCCTTGATTGGGAGTTGATTATTTTAGAATGCAAACCCACCAACAGCAGTGTTTGTATAAATTTTCTGACTTAACTGTGTAATATTTGCATGGGACTTGAAAAGCAGGATATACATATATATGTGCATATATATTTCTTTTCCTTAAAAAAAGACACAGTAATGGAAATTCATACTTCAGTACAGTCCTCCTCTTTTCAGCCTCTGATGAAGAATCCTATTTTAAGAAATTGACCAAGAAAGACAAGAGTTCCACGCTGTTCGACTGTTCCTAACTAAGGCTCAAGTCTTGTTCTCCTGAGTAGTAAATTTAAGCTTATTTTTCATGTGGGATTCTTCTTGGATAACCAACTCTGGACTACCAGAAAACAGTTATTAAATGTGTGTGTGTGTGTGTGTGTGTGTGTGTGTGTGTGTGTGTGTGTGTGTGTGTGTGACTTTTATTAGCTATTTGAACAAAAGACGATTTAATCCTCAGTCCTTACCATTCTCAAGAAAATAGATGTTGAAAAATAATAAACAAATGATTCTGATATGCCCATTCCTGTATCAAAAATGAAGTCATTGTATATGATCAGCTCTCTAAGGGTAGATTTCTTCAAAGTAAAACTCTGAATTTATGTGCTTGCTTTCTGAATATATATACAATTGTTTGCTTTAGAATCTTTTGAAATGTTGCCTGTTCTGTGAAAAGAATGTATGATATATTTTAAGAGTGTAATGTAGAGTCTTCTTCACTTGACGTGTTACAAAAGATGCAACTTGTAATTCCTAGTGTCAAATTACAGAATTGATTTCCCAAGCACTGCTAGTCTTCAGAAAGCATGATATCAATAACAAAGTTTAAAAAGTGACTGAAAAGAAGTTGTGAACATATATATGTAAAATTCTGTTTGCTTGATAGTGGTAATATTTTTGTAATCAAAATAGTGTATACGAGTAGTATCTGTCTTCCATAGAACTGTCATCTTCATTTAAATCATTCCCTTGATATTTTCAACAGCATAACTGTTCCATAATGCCAAAACAAAACAGAAAATCCTAGACACCCCTTTTAAAGTGTTTATTGAACTTGATTCTGTTCTAAAGCATTAACTTAGGATCTAGGACAAGTCCCTCACCTCAATTACTTGGAAATAAGTATGATTCCCTTTAGCTGATAAGATACTGATAACTGCATGTAATAATCCCCCCATATTCAACTGAATAAACTCAATATAGATGGAGTTGGCTAGAGGTTGCAATGAGTCTGATGCAGAGATCTAGATACCGAGCCAGCTAAGAATGAGCTCTGGCGAGCACGGGCTTCTCTTCTAAACGGGTGCAGTGTTGCTGAATTCACTCTCTTCTCTGTGTATGCTGTGTTTATATGCTGATATACTGTTGTGATATATGTTTTGTTAAATAAAATTGATTGAGAAATTCAGATATCCATTCAGAAATACTTACTGAGCGTCTGTTATGTGCCAGGCACAGTGTTAGACCCTGGGGATATGTCAGAAGTGACTCCTACACTCAAAGAAATTTATATTATAGAAAAAAATACATGATTCATGACTACGACAGCTCTCAATCCAAAATAAAATATGCTATTATTATGTTCATGCTGTTGAAATTTATTTTTCTTTGCAAGTATTGTATGTCTACAATGGATCTTTGTTTTCAAGATGAATTTACTCTACTTAAACACAACTATGTCAAACATATTGACTATGACAAAGCTAATCTAAATAAGAAACAATTTGCAATTACACAAACTTTTATCTTTAATTCTTACTGACTAAAAATTAAGTAAAAGCCATAATATTCATGAGATTGGGTACATAGAGATTTCATTTTCTGTAGACAAATAACAACTGCAAACAATCTCAGGAAGCCAAATCTAAACCGTGCAAATTGAAGTCTAGCTGTTGTGATAAAAAACAGTTTCCGCAGACTCAGGAAGTATGGAGAGTACATTCCCTGTATTCGCAGCACCTCCTTGGCTACAGACTCTGGAGGAAATAAATCCATTCTAGAGAGAACATATTTTACTCTTCAGTGCCTTGCGCTATGAGTTAGTAATGCTTATTGTATGTTACTTAGCTAAGGTGACATTTTATACTATATTACGAATACACAATTCTTTAGGGAATATTTCCATAAAGCCAAGTTTATTCACTATAGCATCAGAATGGTGTTTCAAACATGAACTGATTTTATGTAATCACTCCATCTTCCTTAGTTTACCTTTTTTACAACTTTAAAATACATTTTCTAATTATCAGTTATGTAAACATTTTTAGCTATTTTATATAAATACACATGTATAAGAAGTATACCTGCCGGGCGTTGGTGGCGCACGCCTTTAATCCCAGCACTCGGGAGGCAGAGCCAGGCGGATCTCTGTGAGTTCGAGGCCAGCCTGGGCTACCAAGTGAGCTCCAGGAAAAGGCGCAAAGCTACACAGAGAAACCCTGTCTCGAAAAACCAAAAAAAAAAAAAAAAAAAAAAAAAAAGAAGTATACCTATATCCATAATATATGTATTTGTAGATATGAAATGTAAACAAAAATGGAAATGTATTCATTTTCTTTGCCACACCAAATATTAATTCTCCCTTCCTCCAAAGGGCTTGTAGCAACAAAGTTTGTTTAAAAAAAAAAAAGTTTTGCCAGGCGGTGGCGGCACATGCCTTTAATCCCAGCCCTCAGGAGGCAGAGGCAGGTGGATCTTTGTGAGTTCGAGGCCAGCCTGGTCTACAGAGCAAGATCCAGGAAAGGTGCAAAGCTACACAGAGAAACCCTGTTTCGGAAAAAAAAAAAAAAAAAAAAAAGTTTTACCTTGAAACTGTGACCCTTAAATTTGCATATTTTTTTCTTCTTTTTTTTTTTTTTCTTGGTTTTTGGTTTTTCAAAACAGGGTTTCTCTGTGTATCCTGAGCTGTCCTCAAATTTGGTCTGATCAGGCTGACCTCAAACTCCCAGAGATCCACCTGTTTCTGCCTTTAGAGTACTAAGATTAAAGGTGTGTCCAACCACTGTCCAGCCAACTCATTTGCTTCTAAATTGAATAAGGAAGACTTTCATTTCCATTTTCCTTTATTTTGTTCATAGGACTAAATTATCAATTTCTTTTAAGAGTCTTTGGAAAGAAGCAAATGTCCATACAGGAAACATGGGATAAGATTCCAATGTTACTATTTTTCCCATTTCCAATATTTTTTGCAGTGATTGTTTATAATGGTGATATTACAAACCGGTAGTTTTTGTGCTAAGTATCTGGTTTCAAAGGTATTGATTTTGCTAACTTCCAATAATTCAAAAATAGCACTTCAGTAGGGGAAATGTATTCTGTTGATTATATTAAATTTAATTGAATTCAGCTTCAAAATCATTTTAATTCATTCATGGCAAAATTTTCATAAGCAAAGCCTAGTGTTGTGGCTTCAGGCTGAGATTGGTTCCCTTCCAATGTAACTCAGAAGGTGTAGAACACCATCCATTGCAGGAATTATCTTAATGAATGAATTGCTGGGACGAAGTGACACCAGCAGAATCACTTATGGTCCCATAGATCACAGTGGTTGGAGATGCAAAAGCAAGGAGTTGTATTTCTCTCCTCTGATGTTCCCATTGCTAATAAAAGATGAACACTGAGGATTCTGTATGGCTACTTCACAAAGATGTTCCACAAATCCCCCCCCCCTCCAGATACCTCATAGGGTTTATTTTATATTGCATTGAGGGTATTTGGTGTTTTGTTCACCCGTAGTAACCCTAAAACTTGATATAAACTTCCCCAGTATACAAAGCTTTAAGAGCTTCCAGCAGATAATTTGTTGCAAAGGAGGCTGAGAGCTAATGATTTGTGACTCCCATGGATTTGATGTGAAAGAAAAGCAGGTGGAAACACACTCGGGAATCTGCTAGAGGTTTACAAAATGTCCCCAGCCTTCCTCTACCTTTGCTCGCTCTCCCTGTCCCCTAGCATGTAGTCATTTTGTTTTTCTTTTGCTATATGCATCTGTGAGTCTGAATGTCATCTAGCTGTTAAATAGAATCTTCAGTAAGCTGAACAGTTTTCCAACCTTAATTGGCATGGTTGGCAGGAGACAAAGACTTGAGAGGAGCAGCTGTCCAGAAGGAAATGGGGAAAAAAATGAAAGAGAATCCTAAATAAATACTTGACTCTCACATACATATGCCTCCAACGGACAGATCACCTGTTTACTAGGAGTCAGTATTTACTTTCATTTTGAATGTATGAATCATTATATTCTAACATAACTTCTTAGTCATAATGTTCCTAGTCGTAAAATGATGATTGGGAGATTAGTGCAGTTACTGCAAATGAAAACTTTTTAATCTACTTTCTTTACTCAAAATATCATAAAAATTGCATTGCCTGATGGTACAGAAAAATATTTCTTTAATTTTGTTCCCTCTATTGTTAAATCATATGAAGTCCCAATTTTGCAAGTCTCTTGATAGATATTATAAACAACTGCAAGAGTTTCCAGATGTTTCAAAAATAGAAATCTGCCTCCCATTTCTGTCACTTGTTAACCAAGTGAAATTGGATATTCACTTAGCCTCCTTGACTCTCAGCTTTCCTGTCTGTAAGATGAGACATGCTTACTTCAAGATGCAACACAAAATGTAAATGAAAGTATGTAGCTCAAGAATTCAACATTGTACCTGGCACAAAGGAAACACAGAGTCAGGAAGAGAAATTACTTTTTACAATAAGTCTGCTGTTCCTACCATTAGTATCCCTTTACTCTTACCACAAAGAATTTACAATCATCTTGATACAAGGAGACAAAGGACAAATCATGTCTTGTTTTGTTCTGTTTTGAAGGCCTATCTTCCAGTAAATTGCCTGGCACAAAACAGGTACTTAATAAAGGCTTGATTAAATAATAAACTTACAGCTTTTCATTAAGCAACTATTTACCATGTTAGAAGAATTGATTAGATTATGAGCAAACCAAAGAAATGCATACAAAATTAATGCAGTAATGTGCTTACTAGAGGGGTAAAATTCCTCAGTGTTCAAGTACACAAAACACTTTCAGCTTTATCCTCGACTTTAATGCCACTTGAGAGTACTAACATAGCTTGCTCCACTTAAGTATTCTAACTGTACACAGATACATCGCTTATAACAGCTTACACTCGGTTTTACATGTGTAGTTTTGCTGTTTTCTGCATAATCTTCCATAATTTAATTAGGCCACTCTAAAAAGATGAAAAGAATTTGTTCATAAAGCTACTAATATTTTATAGTTTAAAAAGTCATCCCTTTCAAGCTACTCATGAATTTGCACGATCGCATTCATAGTTTGAAAAACATGTTAAGCTTTCATACGGACCTTTTTCTGAATAATAAGCATCCGTCATGAAAGAAGGGACAAATAATTGCCTTAATTTTATAAATGGCAAAATTTACTTCTTACTTCATTCTAATCTTGAATATCTATCCAATTCCAAGGATCTGGGTCACATGGACATGACAACCAAAGGAAGAATTTAAGAAAATAGTATAAAGACCTTGAATTGATTCCCACTGTAAAATCATGTGGAGCATCTCCATGAGAAAATACAATTTTAAGGACTTTCCTCATTTTCTTAAGTTTTTTAATTGGGTTCTGTGTTTATAAGGTAATTTGAATGAAGTCAGAATTGGTATGGGTCTGTTGGACACTGTAGATCAAGTTGCTTTCTATTCTAGAGCTCCAAATGCCAGTTCAAATTCTTTAACTTACAGGGTTTTTTTTAGAAAAAAGAAAAAAACTCTTAGGACAATCCTAAATTAAGGTTAGAGTATAATCTTATAAGATGTAAGTATATTGTATCAACAATGTTGTGGTTACTACTTTTCATGTGGTTACAATATGGTTACTATTTTTCTGAAAATGAAACACTGAATATGGCCAGGAGTTACCTCCATACCATGTACAACAAACCTATCAAACCCCTCTTTCTACTTATGGATAGGTAGTAATAGGTCAACCACTCTGGGCTGACTAAACCATCTCTTAAAGCCTTAAAATACTATTATTTAAGTGTGTGTGAGAGAGAGTTGTGTGTTTGTGTGAGTGTGTGTGTGTGTGTGTGTGTATGAGAGAGAGAGAGAGGGAGGGAGGGAGTGAGGAAGGGAGAGAGAGAGAGAGAGAGAGAGAGAGAGAGAGAGAGAGAGAGAGAGAGAGAGAGAAAGCAAGCACACATGTCATTTCAAGGAAAACAATTTAGCAATTATTAAACACCGGGAAGCTGTTCCAGATGATGAGGATGCTCTCAATACTTCTTGATCCCATTCTCTGTCTCATTTGTGTAGAAAACTAAATGGGACTATCAAAGTGCATGTTCCTTACATGTAGAGGGAAAAGCTTCCACTGGAGACCTATTTCATAATTAACTTACAATTCGTGAAGCAGGTTTCTTATTTAAAGTAAAAACATGGGACAGCACGAGCAAAGTGAATTTAACACAAGTAACTAATGATATGTGTCTTGAAGCTATTATCTCTTATTTCAAGAACTGTAGCAAATGCCTTGTCTGAGAAAAACACTTTACTTGACACACTTGAAAATGGTTTTTTGAAAAAAAAAAAGGGGGGGAGAAGGTACAGAATATGAAATTATTCAACCTTGAATAGATTTTTAATACACTATAGTGGCTACTGAATAATTTCTAATTCCATGAAATATTTGGGAAATATTAGTTTCAAAGCTAAAAAGAATTACTCTTCTCTAGAAAATTACTAATGGAAGCTAGGCAGTGGTGGTGCACACCTTTAATCTGAGCACTGGAGGCAGAGGCAGGTGGATCTCTGTGAGCTGGAGGCTAGCCTGACCTACAGAGTGAGTTCCAGGACATCTAAGGCTACACAGAGAAACTCTGTCTCAGAAAAAAAAAATCCTAATGTATTTATTTTTTTAAAGTCATAGTACTAGTACATAACAATCACTCAAAATATTTTTAAATTTCACTTTTATTATTCAATGTAAACCAGTTTAATACAATTCTAAGTATATTTATATATTCATCTATTATTAATAATTTCTAGCTAAATAAAATCATGCAAAAATAATAAATATATTCTCTTGTCAAAACTTCTAAAACTATAGTTACAGAAATGTTTTTAAAAACGTTTTGTAGTTTTTCCTTTACAGTTCTGCTTCTCTCATTGTAGGAATCCCCCTATGTTATGTACAAGAAAAATCACGAAATGTTTGAAGGAAATGACAAGTACGAAGGCTACTGTGTAGATTTGGCATCTGAAATTGCAAAACATATTGGTATCAAGTATAAAATTGCCATTGTCCCTGATGGAAAATATGGAGCAAGGGATGCAGACACTAAAATCTGGAATGGGATGGTAGGAGAGCTTGTGTATGGGGTAAGCAAACTTATTTATGAGGAATTTACTTACATAAGCCTGAAGCTTCTTTGCCCTTGGACATGTATCAATTTTTAAGCATCCATGACTGTTTTCCAATTTATGGCAATGTTTCACAATGTATTCATTATATTCAAACACTTCTCTATTTCATTAGAAATGCAAATTCCAATAACAGAACTGATCCTGGTAACTTAGAATGAGAAAAGAGATAAAAATTCAGAATACAGTGTCCTCCACATAGCACAGGGACAGGAATGAAAACAAAAGCAACATTGGCCTCAGAATCTGAAGTGAATACTCCTTGAACTGGTAGACCATAGACAGTTTCAAAGATCCATGAGCAATCTGTTACTGGGAAGATTTCCTCCAGTAGAATAAAATTAGTGGCTACTTTATCTAATTATGTGTATCCTTATTATTCATAATTGCTCATAAGTGTCTTTTAACTAATGTCTGATTACCGTAGTCTCCAAGTGTCTGAAATATTCATTAGTATTGTGTTTCTTACAATTCTTCCGGCCACAGTAAATATATATTCTATACATTTCAGATAATGCATCTTTGCTGTCTGTCAGTCTCTCTCTCTCTCTCTTTCTTCATTCTAGAATATATAACAAAACACAAAAACTAGACTGTTTTCCAAAATAGGCCTCTCACACAGCATGCTGTGCCCTTCCCCTGAGCAAGCACACTGGATGTAGAATGCATGAGTTGATAGCCAAGAGCAGTCACAACACAACACAGCAGGCACGTTCTGCCCGAATGAACAAGATCAAGGTCCCTTGTTTTCAGCAGCCACTGTAGTGTCACAATCAAACCCTAGTGATACTATAATATGTTCAAAGTTCTGAGTCCAAACCCGTAGTGCACAGTAAGGTTTGTGCATCCAGGAACCAATAAAAGCAATAAATGCATGAACTGAATTATGAAATGTTCTAAATGCTAATTTGTAGTTCACAGATTGCACTTTCAAAGCACACACTATCTCCAGTTTATACTCAAAAAACCGTTTTGAAATAAGGAATTACATGGAGAGGCATCCTTCTCCAGGAAAAAGTAAACAGACTCAGGATACAGGCAAAAGCCACAAAAGGAATCAAATTCCTGTCTAGAAGTGCAGTGAAATAGTTTAAAATTCTGCATCTCAGTTTTCTTTCTTTTTATTATTTAAAATAATTTTTAAATTTAAATGAATTTTGATCATATTCTTCCCCTGCCCCAGGTCATCCTCTCCCCTTCCTTACTCACTCAAATTTAAGTTCTTTCTCAAAAAATAAACAAAAATCTAACACAACAACAAACCCACCAAAAAAAATAATTAATAAAACAACAACACCAAACTATAACCAAATAAAAGCACACAAAAAAACGTGGTGGACAGCTAGTCCTGAACAGGAAACCTATCCTGGAGTGGGTGACACACCTAGTGTCACTCTGTTGGAGAAAACTGAATCCCCCTCTCCCAGTGGGTATAACTAACAGTTCAATTGTTAATCTTTACTCTAGTAGCTAGTTTTCATTTATTCCTTACTTCTCTCATTTTTAAAAAAATCTAACAAAATAAAATAAGATAAAACAAAAGTTATTATATTGAAGTTGGACAAGACAAAGCAACAGAAAGAAAAGACCCCAAGAGAAGACACACGAGTCAGAAACTGCCTTGTTCACATACTCAGGAGTCCCTCAAACACACTAACAGCTCTAATGTATACACAGACATCCTGGTGCAGACTCCTGTAAGACCCTGTGCTTGCTGCCTCAGTCTCTGTGCGTTCTTATGAGCTTTGCTTGCTATCCTGGTGTCTTCCATCTCCTCTGGCTCTTAGATTGTTTTGACCTTCTCCTCCATGAGGTTCTCTGAGCTCTGGGGAAAGGAATTTGATGGCATCCCTTTTTTCAAACTATGACACAAGAAATATTTCCACAGAGTGCAGAACAGTTGCTAAAACTTCAGCAGACATGGAAAAAAATGGGTCTCATTGTACATAAAGCAACCAGTTTACCATCCAAAAGAAAGACTCACTGAGTGCTTCATTGACTCAAGATGAAAAGGAAATTAAGTTTAAAACATAATATGCAAAATATATTTTACAACAGGGTTCATTGACAATGTCATATGGGTTTTATGTTCTGAAGGAGGAATCCCTAAACATTCTGCTCTTAATATTTCAACTTCTAATACTGTAAGCATATTTCAGAAAATGGCATGATCCAAATGGTTAGAAACACAGACTAAATTCCCTTATTCAAAATATGCTAGGTCAGAAGACTTAAGCTTTTAAATTTTTCATGTTTAATGATATTTTCATATCTGTAATGGGAAATATTAGGATGGGGCCCAATTATAAACATGTGGATAGAATTTTCCACTTGCAACTAAATATTTGACCCTGAAAGCTCTCAGATTTTGAAGCATTCCAGATTGCTAAGTATATCACTACTTAACTATAGATGGTCTGACCTACCTGAGAATTTTCTGGGATATCTGTTTCATGTCTCTCCTTTAGAGCTCCTGTCCTGCTTATATCATCCCTCCACAAGTGTAGTGACCATATTTTATTTGGGAGAAATTGCTTAAATAATTTTTTAAAATGATACAAGAGATCATAAACAACACACATGTCAGAGTAACAGAAAATCCCAAAAGTATGCAATTCTCAGAGAGCAGAGAGATAATATGAGGATCTTAATAACAACACACTGTTTCTTCAGCATATCTGCAGGTATTTAAAGACACCAATCTCTATCTCTTGATTTGTCCAAGTTGTCCCAAAGGAATTGTCTTCATGTCTCTAATGGGTTCCACAGGCTACTTTTTACTGTGGCTTGTACAGTCTGTGCTTGATTCTCAATTTCTTTTCTTTCTTTCTTATTCTTAACACATATTCAAATGCCTAGTTTGCTAAGTTTGAGGTAAAACATAGTCATTTTCTCCTAGACAAAGCCTATTAGAGAGTAAAATGACAAACTATGGACCCATTATCTTTAGTTTACTCTTTGGTAACTGCTACTGTAATTGTTACACATTGATTGCCTTGCATCACTTACATAGAGAGCTAACATCACATACATAGAGACTTACATTAACACTCCCTGAATACCCCCCCTCTCTCCCTCCCTCTCTCTCTTACCATGTATTTGTGTGTCGATGTGTATGTGTTTGATCATGAGGAAGGAATAAAGGACATTCCATGGTTCACTTAACACCAGATTACCTGTGGTATGAGTGAGTAGTGGAGTGAAGGAGTGAAGAAGTGATTTCTTATTGTCACTCCAATGGTGTTTAAGAATAAAAATCTTATCTAACTCCAATGGAAGCATCTCATACACTCCATTCTATGAATCAATGAAAGGTAATGAGACAAGGCACATACAACCCCAGTGTGAACACACAGTGTGCATATATACCCTCACCATTGTGCTGAGCTGTGATCATTATGCCAAACCAGGAGCCTGAAGCTATGTAGCAGTGAATTTAAGAGTGGATGTCTCTAAATAAATGTAAAGAAATAAAAATAAAAAAAGTCAGTAGTTAAGGGCACCTGATGCTTTTGCAAAAAGAGTGAAGTATGGAGGTCAGTTTCTAGCATTATTATTGGCAGCTCATAACCTTCTGTAACTCTAGCTCCAGAGGATCCAATGCCCTCTTCTGGTCTCTGTTGGAACCTGCCCACATGTGCACACACACACGTATCAAAATAAATAAATCTTTTAAAAAATGATAGCCTCTGGGAAAGGTGATGTCTAAATGTGCCTGACCCTATTTTGATGAGAACTATTTTCCTTTAAAGTAAATAAAACTCTATTTTAATTTGTCATTCAGACCACAGTTCAGTTTTTATGGCACAATTTATATAATTCCCATCTAGATGTTTGCCAGACTCAAGTTTAACAGCTGCCACAGTGTGGAGAACTCAGGCTCAGTTCTGACAAGAGGCAGGAAATGGGCCATGTAAAATACTTCATAAGCATCAGATAAAGAATCCGTCAGCACATGCTCACTAATGTCCAGTTAAGGGGTTAGTAGATAATAACAGTCACTTGTTAAGGTAAACAGGCAAAAACACAGCCCCATTAGAGATGCAGGAAAAAAAAATAACTCAGGGTCACCAAACAATGGAAAGGTGTCTTGTGATTTTGATATCTAAGAATTAAAGCTACTGTGTTCTAAAATTTTGTTTTAAAAGAATATTGGAAAGAGAAAATCAAAGAATGTGTATCACGAGAAGCAAATGCCCATTTCCAGATTTTTGTGTGTGACCTGAGCTGGAATATGTTGTCAGTTAAGACAGGGGTTGATGAAGCAAACACTGACCAGGCAGTAAGTACCTATGACAGCATTTGTTCAGGTAGGCATGGCAGCACAGGTATGCAATCCCGGCCCTGGGAAAGCTGAGGGTCACGAATCCACAGCCAGCCTAAACTACATAATGGGATTCTGTCCAAAAAAAAAAAAAAAAAACTTTGTCAATTAAAAAGGTTCTATGTAACTCAAGTAATATCTCATGAAACCAAACCACCACTACATGTTTTATTAGCCTATAATTGGAATGTATGACTGTTGGCACCCAAAATGCTTTTTAAAAAAATGAATCCATGACTGGTAAACTTTACTGATCACTCCACTGATAACTGCCTCATGGAATTCACTAACGTGTATTTCCACATCTCTTTTCTCTTATAGAAAGCAGAGATTGCTATCGCACCTCTGACAATCACTTTGGTACGCGAGGAGGTCATCGACTTCTCTAAGCCTTTCATGAGTTTAGGCATCTCTATCATGATCAAAAAGCCTCAGAAATCTAAACCAGGAGTGTTCTCCTTCTTGGACCCTCTGGCCTATGAGATCTGGATGTGTATAGTGTTTGCATACATTGGTGTCAGTGTGGTCTTGTTCCTAGTCAGTAGGTTTAGTCCATATGAGTGGCACACTGAAGAGCCCGAGGATGGAAAGGAAGGTCCCAGCGACCAGCCTCCCAATGAGTTCGGCATCTTTAACAGCCTCTGGTTTTCCCTGGGTGCCTTTATGCAACAAGGATGTGACATTTCACCCAGGTTAGTGTCAAAATTGGTACTCTTCTCCAGTTCTCAGAGATTCTAAATGTTCTCCACAGTTTCTCTCTGTCTTCCTCTCCAGGAGTCAGAACATCATCTGAAATGAAGGAGAAATTGCAATTCTCCCATAATCATTTTATAACTAACTTCTTCCAAGCTACCACAAAACATAGATGCATTATAAAAAGTAACTTCCTCACCAGAAGAGTAATTGTGCAATCTACTGCCACTGCCCAGAGTTATTTGTAATAGCAGTCATTCAGTGGCTTGACAGGTGTTAACAAAATCTAAACTGTAGAATAACACCCATTTTTATGGTATCTCTTATCGAAAATCTCTGCTCTGGGTTTTCTGAAAATGTGAATAGGTGTGTTTTGTAGTAGACGTCTATGGTTTTTCATAAAGCACATAGGAAGGCTGAGCATCGGGACGATCTGGCCACGTAAACTCTATGTGATTTTATGGCTGTCTCTACGTGGGGCATCCTGACTTACTTTCTTCCTTGCCACACTGTTCCTGCAACACCCAAACTCCAGCTCGCCACATGAAAAATGCTTGATTTCTCCCAGAGAATAACTAAAAGAATAAGAAGCAAAATGTTGGATTTTATATATTTGAACAAAAATATATGTTCAGAAATATGTGTACCCTAAAGGAGGCCAAAAATCTGAAATTCATTAGAGGCAGGAAATGGCAAAATCTGCCTAAATTTCAATAACATAGGATTCAGAGGCAAGAACAAAACAAGTTTTTCTGAAGTGAAGGTTAAGCCAATACTAGTTAAAACCAGCAGATGCCACATTTTAAATCACAAAAGACCTAATTTAAATTAGCAAGGAGAGCAAGGGAGTAGAAGAACCACAGGAAATTTCAAGTTTTGTTTCACAAATGGTAAAAATGAGTGAAATTAATTATGAACACTCTTCCCTGTATTTTTTTAAATTTATCTTATTTTAACTTTCCTTCTGTTAGTTACACTCATCTCCACAGCCTCGGTCGACATTGCTATGTCAGCATAAAATATAATTTTAGGACATCTGCTCAGGTCAAAGTAAGGTCTCTTGGGGCTGAATCTTACAGTCTCATTTAGTCCAGCCTCATTCTGACCTCCATGGCATCCTGAAGAGCTCCAATGGGCTCTCCCTCAGTCTCTGAAAGGTGTCTACCATTGTGCAGAAAATATAAACTCTATCTTCTGCAGCATGAAGAGAGGCTAAAACATTGCCAGCTGAACCAGAATACCGTGTTGTCTTTTATCAACAGCTGCATCCTACTTGAGAGATGCTGAACCATCAGAGAGGGTACTGAGGACATTATGCAGATTCCCCTTTGCTCTCTTCTAGAAAGGACAGTTCCACATTTCTGCCAATAAAACAACAAATTCATTTGCCATGTCTTCAGTGACACTTAATTTTAGCAATAATGTAAAAGACATCATTATGCATCAATGTAAGCCTCATTCTTTAGTAGACTAACAGAATATAAGACAATATTTGAGACTGTAACTTTTAAATATGATTGGTTTTGGTGACATTTCTTTCTTCTCTCTGTGGTTTAGAAAGAGGAAAACTGTATGATCTTATCCATGTTTAGATCCCTGTCAGGTCGAATTGTTGGAGGTGTCTGGTGGTTCTTCACGCTCATTATTATATCATCTTACACTGCTAATCTGGCTGCTTTCCTGACTGTGGAGAGAATGGTCTCCCCCATAGAAAGTGCAGAAGACCTGGCCAAACAAACAGAAATTGCATACGGAACACTGGACTCTGGGTCAACAAAAGAATTCTTCCGAGTAAGTCACAGGAACCTTCAAAATTCTGAATTTCTAGGCAAGTTTGCAACACATATATCATGACCTTAGCTAGTGTAGATTGGAATGCACAATGGCAACAAAGGACTTTACTATTCAGTGTGTCTTCTTGGGTTTTTATTATCATAATATTAACTTGCCAATGGTGTACAGTACAAGAGGAAGAGGCTTTAAGAAATGACAATAGTAAAAAGGTAACTAAAGTCACTTTATAATCTGACTTACCCAACATCCAGTGTTAACTAGCTCTCTGATCATTTTACTTCAGGCAAGATTAGAATTGTATCTATTTTGAGGCCAAGAATATGAAAATAGAAAGCAAACCTTTCTTTTAAAGAAAGACTACATTTGGTATGTGATACCCAAAACCTCAGTGGCAGACTCGTTTATGAGCTGAATCACTCTGTAATCTATTCCAAAGCTGTAGTTTTCAAAGCAAAAGGTTTGCTTCCTTACAAAATTCTACTGGCAAGAAGTGTACCTCCTTAACAATCATTCTGGAGACCTCTATAACCATGGCTCTGGGGACCTCTGTAAGATTGTATGGAGTTTAGATTTGGTGACTTTTGTTTGGCAATAAAATGTTTCAAATTGTGGATGAGGCTCCTTTGGCTTTCTGTCACTGAAGCATAGGTGTTTGTCTTAGTCTGTTCTGTTATTTTTTCAGTTGTTCCATTGGGGTTAAACTGTTTTTAACCATTTTAATTTTTTTTTGAGACAGTGTTTCTCTGTGTAACAGCTCTAGCTGTCCTAGACGTAGCTTTCTAGACCAGGCTGGCCTTGAACTCACAGACATCTGCCTGTCTCTGCCTCCTGAGTGCTGGGATTAAAGCATGAGCCATCACCACCTGGCTAGTTTGTTTATTTGTTTGTTTGTTTTATTTTTTGTTGTGTTGCTTTTAAGTTAACAAATTAAGTACTCTAGTTCTGGGATTTCATTCATACATGTCATTATGCTTTGTTCTTATCCATGCCTCTCTCTCTCCCGTACTGTCTGCCAATGTTTCCTTCCTGTTGGTCCTCTCCTACCTTGAAATATCCCTTCTTTTCTTTGAGTTCCCTTCTAATTTGGTTCTTCCTAGGTATTGCCAGCTTATTTTGTGAATCTGGGGCCAAAATATTAAAAGGTAGCCAACATGACATTTACATAGATATTGAAGTAAATGATAATGAATTTATTTTGTATTTAATATCAATTATTTGAAGACAAGAGGTGGTAAATTATTTGGAATGTGAGAGATGTTTCACTATTTTCTAATCTTTCTATTTGGAAACTATGATAGCTTATATTCTGGACTTTTAAGGATCATCTGAGAGAGTGACATATATAATCTTCTCAGTACCTTGAAAATAAACACAACCAAATGTGATGTTCTGTATGCCAGCTTTAAATTTACTTGACATTTTTTAGATAACTTTTAAGAAGGGAATGTTCATTTTCATTTTGATTACATAGTATTACAAATATTTACACAAATCTAAATCAACAACAAATCATTCAAAGCTTGATGAAACAAACCAAATGATAAGTATTGTGCTTAGTGTTGAGTATTAGCCACAAATATTGATTAAAATTTCAAATGATCTAAAAATATTTGTGAATTTTTCTGAATAACTAAGTAATTGTCATGATAGTAGGCTTTATTAACAATATTGTCCAGATAAAGTTACTTAGTCAAGCCTTTTCTTAACTTACTGAAGAGGTTAGTAACATTTCCTGATATTGCCTGGAAACCTTTCTGTATCAGAAGAGAATGCTGTCACTCAATGTCTTCCATTGAGAAATGATGAATGATGCTCATTAGATGACAAAAAGGAAGGTTCATCACCTTGTCTTGAGTAATGAAGGGGGAAAGACCTGTCATGTCAATACCTTGAAAAAACAAACAAGCAATAACTCACTATAAAGCTCTTTAGCAGCCAACACAGTGCAGATTTTGACTTCTTAATCTTTACAAAGTTTTGTTTTTTCCTGCTCAAATTCTGAAAACTGGTGAAGTAGATAAGAGACTATATTAATAAGACATGTGAAACAAGGAAAGCTGCCTCCGTAGTTTAAATCTTCCCATATAAGCTTGATCCCCATCAAGCCTCTAATTCTTTCTCTCTTGTCCAACTTCAGTTTTAAAATGGAAAGATTTTTATATGTGTGGGTATTTATCCTCCAGAACACTCCAAACACTAATGGGATAACCAAGTAATTTTCCCAGGCAGAACAATTTCAAGAACGTGTACATTTGGGCTTTTGATAAGAACAGCATTCGTTTTCTTCCCGATTTGCTTCTGTCCCTCCATTCCCATTCATGGTGACCTGGTTTATATAAACCATTTGTCTGATGAGCAGAAGAAACAGAACTTGAAAGGTATTTTTATACTTGTCAGAAATGCTTTCTTGTAGGTACATGGTGATGGCACATGGCAGTTCCACTCAGCTCCTCAGGCAGTGAGTGGCCCATAGGCAGCACCGTACAAGAAATCACTTCTGTTATCTGCTGCAAAAACACCTTGGGTTATTCATGGGCCGAAATTATATATGCATTTGCCTTGGCTTTACCCCATTATGAAACTCCCTATACTTGGGGTTCTGCACACCTTGTTAAGCTTTCAAAAGCATCCTACATGTCAATCATGGCAGCCATGCCGTCCAAGCACTTTTACAATACATACCTGACTCAGACACACTGATTTGCACTTCAACACAAATTGAATCTTGTGCCTATTTCAGTAATCAGCAAGATGGAAGAATAAGTTAGATAGACTACTAGCTCAGGATTTAGAATATTATCAAAAAAGACATGGATGATATGTCCCCAGAATACAGGCCCTGCTACCTGCACCATCAGCAAGGGAAAAGTAACTAAATATCCATTAGAATGCATGATATGCATTTTCTATTAAATGCAGGTATGTACAATACTTCATATGTGAGGAATGAGAGTAGCATTATTAAAACTCCAAGGACTAATACATTGAACTAATATATTAATGCTCTAAACCACTGGCTTCTTGGACATTATTGCACAATAACAATGAAACAAGCAGATCTGACATTTCTAATTTTTAAAAAATGTCTTTATATGTTCTATATTTATTACCTTGATCATATCTGCTTCTTGCACCTTATTTTTAAATAGATTCCACAGTTGAAAGATTTAGGGATGTAAAATATCTGTGACCATTGTGTTTATTAGCTTGCTGAGTCTGCAGAATGTCCCTTATTTCAGCCCATCTCTTCAAATTTGTAAATATTTGCTTGCCCTCACGCATCAACAAACATGCTTTCAGTCCAAGTAAGCATGCACAGGGCTATTATTTCTAGATTTATGCTTTTGACTCCCCTCATACTTTGTGTGTGGAGTGTGTGTATGTGTGTGTGTGTGTGTGTGTGTGTGTGTGTGTGTGTGTGTG